TTTGGTGTTTAGGCACGTCGGGTTACTTCGCGCCAGAGCAATTGGCGAGGAAAAATTACGATGGTGCGGTGGACATGTTTGCTTTGGGAATTATGGCTTTTACTATGTTATGTGTAGGAGGTGCTTCGCTCCGCTGAGAAAATGACGCATGTATTTTATTAGGGATATGAGCCTTTCTATCCTCTGAATGCCTTTCATGAACCGATCGAGTTCCTGGATGAGTGTTGGAATGGGGTCAGCGATTTTGCTAAGGATTTCCTAACGAGGTAACGAAGGTCGGCCGTGATGTTGCGAAGGCGTGGTATTGATTATTCATAATGAGTTTAATAATACATTGTCCATGTAGCCGCGGCGCTTGATACTTTATGTGGATTGTGTACACATCTGGATTTGAGAATTAATATTATGTTGTTCATAATATCCTACTTAGTGACATAGTGTCTAGTATGCTATGTTACAGTCTACTATGTTGGAGTCTGTGAAGTCATAGCGTGTACACGGCTGATGGGGGGGGCGGACGTGATGTCGCGAAGGAGTGGTATGGTCACCGAACACTGGTTGAATGGATTGTTCGTTTTGAGTTTATATCTACGGCTGTTTGTTTGGGTCGGAAATTGCGAGTTCTCCGTGGTGAGGTTGTGTAGGGGAATCTTGGGGTTCCTCATCGTAAGATTCAAAGTAGGTCCGAAAGTTGTCCAATTTGGTTTTTTAGTATAATCAAGTGTTAAAGTGTTTATTCAGATGCTTACTGCTGGACCCGACTCAAAGGCTCTCAGCTGAAGAGGCCACCAAACACCCGTGGTTGGATTTGGGGACCCCCCTGGTAGGGAGTTTATATCGGCATTTCCTCAAAGCTCAAAGAGTCGTTGTTCAGCCCAATGGAGTTTGTGTGGATCTTGATTTGGATTTCTGGCATCCGGCGGAAGCTGCTACGGAGGGTGTCGATGTGAACTTCTTGGATTGGCAACTTACTCCGAGTCCTCGTGCAAAGGCACGGTAAGTTACAGCGTACAGAGTTGTCACTAAATTCGAAATGACGTGTGCGTCAGTTGTGGGATTGGGCAGGTTCGTGCTGTCTTATGCGTTGGTGACAATATGAAAACTCCGGTAGATTCTTATTGGTTTCTGAACACTTGTATTCAAATTGGTATATATATTCCCAAGCTTAGCTGAGGAGAGCATGCATTCCTCCTCCAACACTGAGGTCTTCATCAGGTACCCCAACGGTCCGGCGTTGAGTTCGTTGTTATACTCATGCGGTGATCGGGCAGCAGGACCACGACTTGATAATGATCCTTTATTGTCGCTAAAACATGGCGGAGCGAAACGGAGTCTTTTAGCTGCTGATTAGTGCTTGCGAATGTTGGAGGGAAAGAAGAGTGTAAAATATAGAATGTATTTTAGCGATGGTTTTTCACTGATATTATATAAGTATTAATACGAAATGCTGCATCGCTCCGCTAGTTTTTTTGTTCTGATTTTTGGTGGAGATTCTGGGATAAGATGATTATTCAATTTCATAGTACACTGTATATGCGTAGATGATTTCATACGGCTTTGCCTGTTATGGGCCGCGATAC